AAGGTCAGCATTTTATAGATTAACTCACTCAGCCCCTGTCAGAGGTTAGGAACTCTCTGGTGAGAACAGCTGTTGGTCATTTGGTTTCCACATCAAAGACCCGGGAAGATTCTTTAGTAAATTAGGCAGTATTAAGGAGATGAAATTAGTTTCTGGCATCAAGAAAATGCATACCACAAACCTATTTTCTCTATAACGAAGGTAGGAAATAATAAAAATTAATTGGAGCAGTAAAACTTCCTAGAAAATCTGCTATTGATGGTTAAGCATGTGAGCCCATTTGATTTTTTAGATTGGGCCCAGGACACTTTATTCTGTTTTCAAATATGTCAAAAATGATGTGTAAAACACATGTAAATATAAATGTAAAAATTCGTTATTTTTGTGCAAAATATTCATTCTTCAGAGAGTAAACTCAACTTTAATTATTAAAAAACGGGAAAGTTTATTCTCGCACACAATTTGCACCAAGTTCTTAGAATAATAGGAAAAGAATGTAGACATTTGTGAAAATGAATACACTTTTGTAAGAAAATGAATATATTTTCAATTTCAGCTATGCTCTTGGCTCTGTGCTAGCTGTATTACACGTATTATGACATTTAATTCCCATAGAAATAAACAAGGTAGGGGTAATTCCCACTCTCACTGTTTATAAAGGGAAATAAGGTACAGCCACGGTAGGCAGAAATCTAAAGGTTCTCCCCACTCCACCCCAAGATTCCAGTTCCCTGGTTGTTTAATCAGACACTAATCTAGGTAGTGCTGTGAAGGGACTTCACAGTTGTAATTAAAGTCCCAAGTCAGTTGACCTTAAAACATGGAGATTATCCAAATGGGCCTGATCTAATCACAAGAGCCTTTAAAGGCAGATTCGGAAATCTATAGAGAGTTGAAGTATGGGAAGCAGTCAGACTTGCTCTTGCAGCTTTGAAGATGGAGGGGCCACGTGAGTGTGGGCAGCCCCTATGAGCAGACAGTGGATGCTGGCTGATAACCAGCAAGGAGACAGGATCTCCATCCAACAGCCACAAGGAAATGAATTCTCCCTAACCTCATCAGATCAGAGCTCAGCCTGGCCGACACCTGGATTTTGGCTTTGTGAGACATGAAGCAGAAGACCCAGTTGAGTGATGCCAGACTTCTGAACTGCAAAACTGTGAGATAACAAATGAGCATCCTTTCAAGTCGCTAAAGTTTGTGGTAATTTGTTACAGCTGCAATAGAAATCTAATACAGAAACTAAAAGTCGCTGAGCAGATAAGCAACAGATCTAAGATGTAACCCATTCAGCATAAAGAATTGTGGTGAAAATAGCTGTGAGCAAGACCAACAGGTTGATTTGGAGAAATTTCATTCATTTATTCATTCGTTCATCAACTACCAAATATTTTATGACTACCTTTTATATGGGAGGCCTATCTTTTTAGGGGCTACAGAGATAAGATATCCAGTCCTTTTCCTCAAAGAGCCCACAATTCAAGGTTTGAGGGCAGACAAGCAAAGGAATTGGTGCAGTGCACAGTGTCTCAAGTACTACACAAAGGCTAGAGGTTCTGGGAGCACAGATGCTTTCAGTCTGATTTCTTACCATGTTGCCTGTGGTAGGCAGGATAATGGGCCCCCAAAGATGTCCTTGTTCTAACCCCCAGAACCTGTGAATACATTGCATTAGATGGAGGGGAAATTAAGGATGTAAGTTGAATTAAGGTCATTAATCAGCTGACCTTAACACAGGGAGATAATTCAGGATTATCCAGGTGGGATCAACGTAATCACAAGAGTCTTTAAAATGGAAGAGAGAGGCGGAAGAGATCGTCAGAATGATTTGATGTGAAAAGGACTGGCTTTGAAGATGGAGGAAGGAGCCTCTAGAAGCTGGAAAAAACAGCAAAATAGGTTCTTTCTTAGAGTCTCCAGAAAGGAACACAGCCCTGCTGACACCTTGACTTTAGCTCAGTAAGAAGCTTTTTAGACTCTGACCTCCAAATTTATAAGATGATAAATTCGTGTTGTTATAAGCCAACAAATTCATGGGAATATGTTACAGCAGCAATAAGAAGCTAATCCATTGCCTGAATTTCCCTGATATGAGATAAATTAAAATAGGAATAGGGAAGGAGAATGCATTAGGGTTATTTTATTTTAGCTAATATTCAAGAGACAGTCTTTAAACATTGAGAGCATTTGAAAAAGAAAGTGCAGAAAGCATAAATCATGATGAAAAAGTTAAATTAATTAAATTTCATCAAATTAAAAGTTGCTGTTCTTCTAAAGAAGTATTCAGAAAATTTTTGTAAAAAGCCTTAGCCTGAGAGCAAATATCTACAAGCATACAACTGATAAAGGGCTTGTCTCCCAAATTATATAGAACTCTTACAAACCAATAAGAAGAAGACAAACAATACACTTAAAAGTGGGAAAATTATTTCAAGGGACATTTCAGCAAAGAAGATATCCAAATGACTAATAAGCTCATGAAAATATGCTTAACATCATTAGTCATTAAGGAAATGCAAATTAAAACCACAATAAGATATGTGCTATTATATACCTAGAACGGCTAAAATGAAAAGATTGATAATGTAAATGTGAGTGAGGATGTGGAGCAAGTGTGATTCTCACGCATTGCTGGTGCAAATACAGAATGATATAACCACTTTGGATGATGGTGTTTCAGTTTCTTGTAAGTTAAATATAGACTTACCACCTGACCCAGCAATTCCACTCCCAAGTATCCATCCAAGAATATTTCTCTTTGTATGCCCAAACTAAGATCTGGATATGAATGTTTATGGCAATTTTATTCATAATCTCCCAAACTGGAAACAACTTAGCAACTGGTGCATGGATAAACTGAGTGTGGTACATTTACACAGTGAAATACCATGCAGCGATAAAAAGCAATGAATTGATACATGCAACAACATGAGTGAATCTCAAAAACCTGATGCTAAGTGAAAGAAACTAGATTCAAATGGCCGCATACTGGATGATTCCATATGACAGTCTAGAATAGGCTAAACTATCATGACGGAAAACAGATCTGTGGTTGCCAGGGGCTGGGGAAGGAGCAGGTGCTGGCCAGAGGACACAAGGGAACTTTGGGGGGTGATAAAAATATTACATATCTTGTTTGTTGGTGGTAACATAACTATATATACATTTATAAAAATTCATTGATCTGTACACTTAAAGGAAAAATTTTGTTGTATATAAAGTATACTGAACAAACCTGATTTAAGTTCCTCCCTCCCCCCAAAAGAAAATAAGTACATAGCACATAGTTTAAACAAGGGACTGACCAACCTCCCAGATGTAATCTCTCAGGAAAATATAGATTCTCAGATACATAAGGGCAGAAAACCCAGATAGGTGCAAAGTTTTACAGTTACTGCTCATGTATTAAAATTCAACTGTAGAGTACTTCCTTGTCTGGTCTATTTAATCAATGTAAAACTTAAAAAAGGGTATTTTAATTAAACTTAAGAATCCAGAGATGAATTAAGATAGCCTGAAAGAAAACCGGAAAATGTCCTCACATATCTTCATTAAAAAAATGCACTCGGATAAACAGTTTGAAGCACAGTGAATAGAATACTGAGAATTACACAATAGTTTGCTGAAATGGGTGTAATTTATCTTGCTCAACATTCAGGAACAGACTTTTAAAGGACTCTTTTACTAAAAAGAGAAACATTTCCATGCTTGTAAAGCACACATAGCTCCTCAGAGAAAAATATTAAGTACTGGGTATTATTATTTCATGAGCATTGGGCTTACTTTGACAGTCATTATAGTCGTTCCATCTATAATTGCTGGGATTGCCTCCATAAAATGCATCTTTTGTATGTGCATTTGTAATTCATTAAGAGCACACACTCAGTTTGGGAAATGCCACTGTAGACATACTGACATTGAACTTGAGAGAAGGCAACTGTTTTGCCCAAATTACTCTGTGCCACCTGAGGCATAGAGAGGAACACCCACGGGGGCTCTTGTGTGGCACCTTCTGTACCACGCAGGACTCCGCAACCCCCATGGATTACTGACATGAGAGACATTTTTAAGAATTTTATATTGTGAACAGTTCTTTTGAGAATATAATTTGGCAAAGAACTGGGATCCTTGCCTCTTGTTCCACAAAGGGGACTGAAGATTGTAATAGGAAAACCATTAAGATCAGAAAAATGTAATTTTATTTTACTTATGAATTTATAACCTAAGGGGGAAAAAGCCCAATCGACTCTTTGTTAATATCCTTCAGTTGCAGCGTATTCCATTGGTAAATGTAGTGTGCTCCCACTGTTTTAATAAGCATTTCTGCTTCTCCCTTGGGGGCTTGTGGTCATCATCAATAGCCATAAAACTCTAAAAATGTGACAGAATGTTTCATCTCCTTAAGATGCCACGCCACCAGGATTCCTTCGTCCTCTCTCTTACATGTGATTTGTGCTCCTCAAAGATGACCTTTAAGGCCTTCACTGCTTTGCAAACACATTGCATGTCCCAAGGGCACCCCATTAAGAAGGTCACATGCTTTGTATTGCATATTAGTACTTGCCTTTCAACATGACTTCCTCTGCCTACTGTGGGAAAATTCTCCTTTTCATAAGACATAGTGGGAAAAGTTTTTGGTGCTTTCTACAGAAGAAATGTCCTTGATATATTGCGGGAACACTTAAGGTCATTTGGGATTTCATCAGTCATGAGAATAATCGGTCTCACGTGTTTTAAAGAGTAGAATCCACTCACACTAATTGTAGTATTGCCTTAGGCTTGTACATCTAGAGGTGTAAAAGAGCTCTCAAGGATAACAGTTTTGGTTGTACCCTTTGCCACTTAAAGTATGTCAATAATTGTTGAATAATGCTATCCATAAAACATCACAACAAAAATAAAAAATATTTAAAATATATTTTGATAATCTTTGACATTAATATATTGGTTTGCATAAATGCATATGTACCCAGTAGGGTTTCTATTAATTCCTCTTGAAACGGTATTTACTATGCATGCTGTAGGATTTTCCAATCAAATAAATAAATATGCATGCTGTAATCGCTTATAATTTTGCTTTCATAACTTTAATAACTGTGAATTTTTAGCAACAAGATAAAATGTCATTTTGCTGACTAGAACTATTAAATAGTAAAAGATTTTAAAATACTTAGTACTAGTAGATTTCGAAGAAAACCAAGATTACTGGCTCTGCCCCTTCACCCCACCATCCCCATCTTCTAACCTTTATAAATCAAGTATGTTTTCTCCACCCAAGAAATCAACTGGATTAATTCTAGATGAAGCATTGGCGTCCTAATTAATAGGCCTATTTAAATAAGTTGGATTACATGACTAGTGACTGCTCCTCTTAGGCTAATAAAGAGATGTCAACAAAACACAATTGAGTTTCACATGAAGATCATATTAAGAGATTGATTGGAGATGAAACAGTGGCAAAGACGCAGAACCCTACAGAACAGTGATTCTCAGATTTAATGTGCGTACAAATCAGCTGGTGAGCTGGTTAAAACACAGATTCTGATTCAGCCACTCTTGGGGCGGGGCCTGAGATTTCCCATTTCTAACAAGCTTTCAGGAGATGCCAATGCTGTTTGGTGTGAGGGACCACGTTTTGAAGGGCAAGCTTATAGACCGTCATTAAATCAGTTTACTATTCGTATAAGTACTTTGGCTTGGCACATAGTTCTGTGTCCAGGCTGAGCTGCCTCCTTCTGTTGTTCCCAAGGAAACTGCAGCAATGCACTGAGATGCACAATATACCTTCTGGATTAAAATGTACCAATTTCCCTTCTTTCTCTTTTATTCCCCTGCCAGAACTGCCCTGCACTGCAGCTATTGACTTTAGGAAGAATGAATGGACCAATTTTACTCTGAAATATATTGCTGGGTGATGGTGACAGTGGAATGTGTGGACCAAAGATGCCCTGACATAGTCAAAAAGGGTGACTTCCTTGGGGGTGAGGAGGTTTGGGGGGCTATGCCAGACTCTGTTTATGTTTGTTCCAGGCTGGTGTGTGCCCACCTATGGATTTCCACCATTGGTTGAGTGGAATCATACTGCAATGGGCTTCTTATTTTCATTTTTTCCTCCAGAACATGGACTGAAGCTTTCATTTTCAATCTTACTGAGTAAAAGATCTCCTTTTTTTTTTTTTCTTTTTTTACTGAGGAATATTTGCCCTGAGCTAACATCTATTGCCTATCTTCCTCTTTTCACTTGAGGAAGATTCGCCCTGAGCCAACATGTATGCCAATCTTTCTCTGTTTTGTATGTGGGTTGCTGTCACAGCATGGCCACTGATGAGTGGTGTAGGCCTGCACCTGGGAACTGAACCCAGACTGCCAAAGCAGAGTGTGCTGAACTTAATCACTAGGCCACAGGGCTGGCCCCAAGACCTCCTTTTTTTTTTTTCTTGGTGAGGAAGATTTGCCATGAGCTAACATCTGTTGCCAATCCTCCTCTTTTTTCACCTCAGGAAGATTCGCCCTGAGCTAACATCCATGCCAATCTTCCTCTACTTTGTATGTGGGATGCCTCCACATTATGGTTGATGAGTGGAGTAGGTCCACACCTGGGATCCGAACCACAAACCCCAGGCTGCCAAAGTGGAGTGTGGGGAACTTTAACCAGTGGGCCATGGGGCTGTCCCCAAGACCTCCTTTTTAATGCAAAAGAAATTAAAGAATTTTATTACCCAACTGAAAATTCATAATCAAAGCCTTTGAATTGAATTTGTCCTTAATCTTATCTACATGAATTGGAAAAAATCCAACAAAATAAAACCAGCACACTTAAGAGAGGCATGTTATTCAATCAACCTGGAGACAATGGTTTCTCTCTGCAGCCATGGTTTTGGAGACACTTAATTAAGACAATCTAGCTGATGAACCTCCCACTTCATTGTACCACATTGAGATCTCCTTCTGTTTTGTTCTCCAGGATGACTGATTTCCTATCAAGAGTAGACCAGGAATGACTGGAGATGATGAACTTACACAAAATCCAGAAGAACCAGAGGGCCCCAGAAAATTAATGTTTAAAAATCTGATATAAGAGATGCGTAACTCTTCCTTAACATAGCAAATCCTGAGAAACTAAGAAAATCATTCAAAGATTCCATTTCAAACATTCTTATGAATGCTTTAAGATATTTTTCTGTTTAATTTTTATTATGTTTGGCTGAGTGATGTTTTCTTATAAATAAATCAACAAAGCCAAACAGTAATACATAAAGGCTTACTGACAAGATTCTGCCAAAAACAGAGATTTCCATATTTTGAAAGAAATCGGTTTTCAATCTGTGATGTGTTCCCTGTAACTCATTTCCTTTTCCTCCTAGGCACATGACTCTCTTTCTTACCCTCCACTGTTAATTGTGGCCATGTGACTGAGTTCTAGATAATGGAATGTGGGAAGAAATGTGTTCCTTCTCTAAGATTGTCATAAAAAACTCTCCCACAAGTCTACATATGCTCTGTCCCCTCTTGTGACTGACGGGAGAAGACAAGAGCACCGAGAGAAGAGAGGAGCCAAAAATGGAAAGAGCCTTGGTCTGTGAATGACCAGAGAGAAGGTGATGTGAAAAGGAAAGTCAACATAGGACAGGAAAGTTAGAGAAAACGGCACCTCTGCTGTTTGGAGGCATCATACGTTTTGGATTGGTTTGTAATGCAGTAAGCCTATGCTAAACCACGCAGGTGGAAAATGGGAAATTAGTTTTGACGTCCTCTCTCTCCGTTGAGGAGAGGGCTGGGTCTTCACCTTTGAATATCTGGCAGATGGCTTTGTATTATTAGGTGCTGCATAAACATTTGCTGAAAGGTGTTGATCTACTCTCCAGATCCTGCTTCTTTTCCTGAGCCAGCGACCCAGAGGATGACGTTCCAAGAGCCCATGTCCTCCTCAGACCTGTATCCAGAAGCAATTGGGGCTATTTCATTTCAAAAAACTCTTTTCAAGTATACTTTGCCTATACCTGATGCAAAGGAACTTTGGCATGAACGAATTCACCCGTCAATATTTCTTTTTTGAGCGATTTTCTTCTGTTGCAATTTAAAAGAGACTTTTTTGAGAAGTAAGAAAAGGCTAACATCACTTATTTGGGGATAATGTCTGTTTACTGGCTAGGAAGCAGGAGAAAAGGATTCTTTGTATTGTAAAACATATAGTTTAGTTTTTATCTCCAAGGAATTTGAACTTTCTTGGAATAGAGGGGAAATTACTTTCTATGATTCTTTCTAGAATCTTCTCTTCATACTAAAGACATCATGATAACCTGCTGTTTCTTGGGGGACTACTGTCTGAGCTGAGTGGATTATCTATAGCAGGTCTTCTTCCTTGAAGACATTCTTTTACACATCAAAGTGGTGATATTCTCAGTTTTCAAAAAATATTTGTTCCTAATTAATTGTATTAGGTACCTCGGTAGATGGTACATAAATATTCAAACAGAAATGGCTCCTGCTTTTTGTAAACCGTTCTCCACACAGGCAGAAGCCACTAAGGTGGACTTAGAAATAACACAGTAAAACCACACAAGTGTCAAACGTAGAATAGATGGCAACATTTAAAAGGAAAAAAACCTCTAGTGTGGGAGGATGGAAGCACACAGAGAGCATTTCAAAGAAGAAAGGATATACACCTTCTTTAGCCCTATGATTGCTCTCTAAGGATTCTTAAGCCAGATGCTTCTTTGGCTCTGTAAAACCTGTGTCATCATTACTGTCAGGGTACGTGAGATATTAGCAGGATGGCTGCCTTTACGGAACAGAGTACATGGCAACTCCATCCTTCCAGTTGATCAGCCCGATAACCTTGGAGTCACCCTCATGTTCTTTCATCCTCTCATGCCCCATACCCAATCTTTCAGGAAATCCCGACGCTCTACGTTTAAAACATGCTGATCACCCATCCACTCCTCCCACCTTCACAGCTGCTGTCGTAGACCAAGCCGCCGTCAGCTCTTGTCTGATGGCTGTTGTGTCTGCCCAGCTGGACTCCCTGCTCCAGCACATGCTCCTCTTTACACTTTACTTTCCTTACGGCAGCCAGCATAATCCTTTCAGATTCGTGTGTCGCTCCTCAAATAAATTTGGCAATGGCTTCCCAATTTACAGGAGTCTATAGTGTACTGTTACTGTACGTGGTGTGGCCCCTGGGCCTTCTGACCTCGTCTGGTAACACTTTCCTCATTGCTCCTCCATCCCAGCCACACTGGCCATGCTCCTCCTCTTGGAACACACCCGGCACGCCCTTGCGAGGGGGCGCTCTGCCTGCCGCCTTTAATGCTCTTCCCCTCTGCATTCCTTAAGGCATGATAACTGCTATGAGAAGATCCAAAACTCTGTAACGCCTCCAACAGTGGACAGTTTCTTCCTCACCTACAGTGTTGGGCAGGTGAACGGCTCCGTGGGGAGCTGTTGTTCCATGCTGTCTTCTGGAACCCAGACTACAGAAGAGTCTGCTGTGCTCGGCAAGAGGCTTCCAATGAGGCTCTGGACGGCGCTCCTTCACACCAACCAGAAGAAGAGAGCACGGGGAAGTTCGAGTGGGAGCTCTCTGTTGGACAGGCTGGACAGCACAGTCATCACCTCCGCTCAAGTTGCATCGACTGGAACCAAGTCACACGGCTGAGCCTGATAGCAGGGGAGCTGGGAAATGTGGTTCAGTCTGGGCCAGGAGGGTAGAGAAGTTCTGGTAAGCAGTTGACCACCTCTGCCACAACCTAGGAGCCACTCAAATTTCTCTGGCACTTTCTTTAGGTGTCTTCTCAAATATCACCTTCTCATTGAGCCCTTTACTCATTATCCAATACAACACCGTAGCTCTGCACTTGCTCTTCTATTTTTTTCTATAGGATTTATTTATTTTTTTATGTTTTTCTGTTTCATTTTTTTCTATAGGATTTATTGTCACTATGTGTTTGCTCTTTATTTTTAAAAATTGTTTATTGGGGGGGGGCCAGCCCCGTGGCACAGCGGTTAAGTTCACACGTTCCACTTCCGTGTCCTGGGGTTTGCCAGTTCAGATCCCAGGCGCGGACCTATGTACCCTTTGGCAAGCCATGCTGTGGCAGGCGTTCCACATATAAAGCAGAAGAAGATGAGCATGGATGTTAGCTCAGGGCCAGTCTTCCTCAGCAAAAAGAGGAGGATTGCTGGCAGATGTTAGCTCAGGGCTAATCTTCCTCAAAAAAAACCCCGAACAAACAAAGAAACAAAAAATTGTTTATCGGTAGTGGGTTGAATTGTGGTCCCTCAAAAAGATATGGCCATGTCCTAATTCCTGGCACTTGTGAACGTGGCCCTATTTGGAAAAAGGATCTTTTCAGATGTAATTAAGGATCTCGAGATGAGTCGTCCTGGATCACCTGGGTGGGTCCTAACTCCAAGGACAGGTGCCCTCACAAGAGAAGAGAGAAGACACACCGGGAAAGGCCACGTGAAGAAGGAGGCAGAGATTGGAGACGCGCAGCCACAGCCAAGGGTCCTCCCCTAGGCCTTGAGAGGGAGCTTGGCCCTGCCCGCAACTTCATTTCAGACTTCTGCCCCCAGCACTGCGAGAAAATAAATTTCTGTTGGTGTAAGCCACCCAGTTTGGAGTAATCTATTATGACGGCCCTAGGAAAGGAATACGTCCCCCCGGCTCTAACGCAAACTCTGGAGAGCAGAGACTGTTCTGTTCATTGCTGTAGCTTTCCCTGCACAGAGCAGAGCCTGGCCGGTAGCGAGCGCTCTGCAAATACTCGTTGAATGAATGAGTGAGTAGAAACGGGGAAATGTCTCTCCAGCCGACTCCAGATGTCATCTCTTTTTCGAACAGTTTCATGGTCTGCCCCAGAGTTTTCTGGTGTGTCCTCATTCTGAGACAGTCGCGAGTAGAGGTCAGGAGCAGAGGATCTGAACTTTCACAGACTCAGACTGAAACTCTGACCATGGAACCACTGGCAACTGTGATCTCGGACAAGTTAGTTAATATTCCTAAAGCTCAATTTCTGCACAAGATTGTTGGGAGGATTAAATGAGCTTATATATGTATGTGTATTTTGTATATATGTGTATATATACTCCTACTGTAGTGCTTGACCATGTAAGTTTACAGGAAATCACTATTATAATAATTATAATTAGTTGGGATTAAACTGAAACTTTACAGACTCCATCTTTTCATTCCAAATTTCTTTGAAATGACATCCATCAACTATAACATTTCTTTACTAAGAATTTCAACCAAGCAAGCCGTTCTTGACCACAAAATTCCCTATTACAACATTTCAGTATTCATAGATTTACTTCTGTGAACCCCATATAAACCATGATATCCTTGTTTAAATATGTGAAATCTGCTGGAAATTCCAACTTGTAAGATGCAATCAGGCCATTGGACCAGCCTGCCTCCCCGGCTGTCTCAAAGAGATGGGACAAGCAATTGGCTTCTTGCTCCTCTGCCCTTTGGCTTACTGTGCTCGACTGATCTGTCCCACTTTTACTGTCTCTTGAAAATAAATGCTCTCCATGCTGTTTATGTTATGATTTAATGCTTAGATATCACATATTGATATTGTGTGTCACTCAGGGATACAACTTTTCAAAAACATTTATTTGCATAAATTAGCATAACATTGGAGTACAGACAAAAATTCATGAGCTACTCCATCACTGTTGTAAATAAAATAAAATAGAAAATAAAAATAAACTTGAAGGAAGATCTTTAAGAATATGAAGAAGTTGTTGGATAATCAAATCGTGGAGTCACGCCAAAGAAGAGAGCAAGGAAGGTGATGTCTTTAGAAGGCAAGACAAGTGTTCTTGATCTGTTTTATGATTTGGTTTATTGAACATAAACATTTTTATTAGACTTTCATAAATTCATTCTCTACCTTAATCTCTTTAGCTTTCTTCTAAGGTCTTGCATTTCTTGACTGAGCCGTAATAGAATCCTTGGGTTTGGAGACAGTGTAAGATCTCAACTCCTCACCTTGGCGGGAGGAGAGCTTGCCTGGCTGGCGCATGCACACTCTCCCCTTGTCCCCCCCCCCCCCCCCCCCCGCCCCCAACCCCAATCCGCTCTGCCTCAGCTGCTTGCTTTCTGCCCCCAGGATTGTTCAACCCACAACCTTCGCGCTAGGGCCTTCTTTGGCCCGGCTATGCAATTTTCCTGATCTGTGTATAGCTGGCTTCTTCAGAAGGCTTCCCTAAGTCCCTCCTGCACATGATCCTGGGTTTGTGCTTTGCCAGGTATTGATATTTTTCTTGGTGTGTGTGTGTGTGAGTGTGTGTGTGTGTGTGTGTGTGCCCATTCATCGATGAACTGATCATCTCCTCATCCCATTGAAAAATAAGCTCCGTGAAAACAAGACCTTGTCTGTCTTGTTCACTGCTGTATACCCAGTGCCTAAAACGGATCTTAGTACCTAGGGGATACCAGTATATACATATTAAATATAGTCAAAGCAAAAGCTTCCTATATATCTGTTTTCTTGACAGTTTCTCTTCTCAGTCCTAGATACTCCAAATTCTGATTTCCAAGTTCTATATTCGGTCTGAGATCTTACAAATTCTGACTTCTGGAACTCCAGAATGATATACAACATTGGCATGTAATATTTAGGCTCCAAATACTACTATACACAGATGCTGGTTATTAAGGTCTGTGAAGCGTGCAATTGGAGCACATCTGGCTGGGGCATTCAGGAAGGTGAATGTTGTCTTGCTACTAGCATCTCTTCTACTTTGGCATTCCTGAGGGAGAAGCACATGCAGAGAAACACTGACAAGGAAAGCCAAGAACAGCTTTATTATTGGCGGTTCTGGCATCTCGGATCCCAGTGCAGAGTTGCTGGTAAAATGCACTAGAGCAAGAGGATTGGGCCTGTGGGCTAAGATGTGTGAAGGAGAGCCAGCGCCATTTGATAGCTTTATCTTCCCAGGGTCAGATAAAAATCTTGCAATGTTATCACTCTCTGGCCGACTAAAGATACAAATGATAGTAAATGTCTGAAAATCCAAAGACGGGGCATTGGCTCAGCTCCTTCTGCGTGAGAGATGCCCTTTGCTCTTTTACGATTCCAGACACAGATTTAGAAGAAGAGCCACACAGAGTAGATGGATCCCTATCTAAACTGTGGTGCAGATTCTTACAGAGTTAAACACACATTTCCAGACGACCTAGCAAGCTCACTCCTAGGAATTCACCCAAGATAAATGGAAACACGTGTTCACGCAACGGCTTGTGTTTGAATGTTCCTAGCAGCTTTATTCATGATAGCGAAAAACCAAAAACAAGAAAATATTTTGTGTTGGTGAATGGATACACAAATTATAGCATATCGATAGCGATTAAAAAACCCCAGTGATACATGCCCTATCATAGATGAATCTTAAAAACACTACATTGAGTGAAGGAAGCCAGGCAAAAAAGGCTGCATGCTGTGTGATTTCACTTATGTGATATTATAGAAAAAGGAAAACTACAGAGACAGAAAGCAGAGTACTTGTCAGGAGCTGAGGAGGTGGGAGATGGGGAGGCAGGAGGGGTATTGTTTGCACAACGGGATCTGCCACATTGGGAGTCACGAGAAATGTTCACGATAGTGGCAGTGCACACACAACAGTATGCATTTGTCAAAGCTCATCAAAATAGACGCTTAAAATGGGTGAATTTTATTTTATATTAATCATATCTGAATAAAGCTGATTACATACATTCCAATAAATACTCTGGAACGTGATGCAAAGATTAGTACGTCTTCCTCTTGAAGAAGAAGGGGAGAAGGAGAGAAAAGGTAGACTTCACAATAGCCTCTGGGAAATGTTCTAGCAAAATGACAATGGACGACATACTTTCTGTTTCACTCCACATGGCTCTGAATGGTTCTTCTCATTTCATTTTGGAATTACAAATTCTTCTTTGTGTTCTTCAGTGGCATGTTTTCTGGCTAGGATTTTTTTTTCCATTGAAACAGGGTTAGAGGATGGTCAGGGGGCATGAGGGGGAAGTGAGCTGCTGAGAGCTCATGCTCTTTCTATGAAAGAAGAAATGGAGAGTCAAGGTTTTTCATGGTTCGTGTGGTTAAGTTCTGATTGGAACTTGATGTGCCTTGATCTGATGTGCC